TTTATTACATCGATATATATATACATGTTTGTCATTAATAAAGTGAAAATATTGAAAAGAGGTAAAGTTGTTAGATGAAAAGAATGCGCCAAGAATTTAAAATGTCAAAAAATTCTTATCTTTTTTTTTTTCTCAAAGAAAGTGGTTCAGTAATGAGAAATCGGAGGTGGGAAAGGACGGACGTAACGTTCATTGAAAAGACTTCCTTCACAAATAAAACGAGAAGGAAGGATAACGGTTTGACCAAGTTACACAGACCCAGAGAAGTACGTATGTATGAGAAGAGTCATGCTTTGTTCGATTCACACTGAAACAACGAGGGCATTTAAAGACATGACCTTAAAGGTGGGGAGTTGCGTCCTTGCGATATTTCAATTGCTCGTCATGAAAATCGAATTTCAACCAAAATTGCCATTATCACTGGAAATAACTTGGCATGGTTAGTTAATACAAATGACCAAATAACAAGATCGACTCGGTTTACTTTCTAGGACACGATAATATTCTAGGACATAATCTACTCGCTGTGCTATAAGCTCTCTGCACCTGCAGAAACGCATATTCATTACAATCTACTCCACTGTGTTCGTCTCAAATTAATACGCACTGGCAACACTTTTTTTTTTCCTTTCTGTTACACTTCGTCTAGCATATAAATTATTTGACATATTTTTCTTATATATATATATTCACTGTTAAAACTTTTTAATTTTCCACAAGGAAGATGTTTCATATATAACTTTACTATGCTGTTGAAATTTTAACAAAAGCGCAGCCAGTAATGAAATTTTATATTGTATATTATATTAACACGTATGTGATAAATTAAAATTATTAAATATAGCAAACGCAAGTATAGAAAAGTGTATTACGTTCATTAATTTATTTGAATTGTTAAGTAAATTAAATCATAAAATTTTTATTTCCAAATTTAATTAATTTATTAACTGACATTTTTGAAATTCTCTCAATTATATTTTTAACATTAATAAACAAATAATCTCAAATTTTGTGGCTATTTTCATGTATTTTTTCACGCTGAATCCGAATCCGAAGACAGAATTATCAGATTGGCTTTTATTTTTGAGATAAACTCAAAAAACTGCTCAGAAAGAAAAATAAAATCAAAAAGTTAAAAAATTTTTGAATGTCACTGCCATAGTGTAATTCTATGTATTTTTTGTCGCTGAATCCGAATCCAAAGTCAGAATTGTTAGATTCGCTCAAATTTTTGAGATAATTGCAAAAAAACGCAAGTAAAAAAAAACTCAAAATCAGTTTTTTGGAATTATTCTCAAAATTTGAACCAATCTGTCAATTCTGACTTCGAATTCGGATTCAGCGTGAAAAAATACATAAAAATGCACTATCGTAGTGTTTCGGCAAAAAAAAATTTCTTTGAGCTAAAATCGCCAAAAACTGATAAAAATTCTGAATTAGGGGCACAGATAATTTTTTTTGCCGAAACACTACGATAGTGCATTTTCATGTATTTTTTCACGCTGAATCCGAATTCGAAGTCAGAATTGACAGATTGGCTCAAATTTAGAAGATAATTCCAAAAAACTAATTTTGAGTATTTTGAGTTTTTTGTTACTTGCGTTTTTTTGCAATTATCTCAAAAATTTGAGCGAATCTAACAATTCTGACTTTGGATTCGAATTCAGCGACAAAAAATACATGGAATTACACTATCGCAGTGACGTTCAAAAATTTTTTAACTTTTTGATTTTATTTTTCTTTCTGAGCAGTTTTTTGAGTTTATCTCAAAAATAAAAGCCAATCTGATAATTCTGTCTTCGGATTCGGATTCAGCGTGAAAAAATACATGGAAATAGACTAGTATAGTGTCTCGGCCAAATAGCTTTTTATTTTTTGTGTGCCTGTGTAATTAAGGTGCTTTTAAAAAAACTAAATATATAATAAATTAAATAAATTATAAATTGGTAATCAATATTTATATAATATTACTAATAATATCATACTTGAATAAAATAATTTTTATTTGAATTAAATAAACTGTATTTGAATCATTAATTTCTGTATTTGAAACAAATACCATCTCAAATAATAATTATTTGATACAAATAAATTTATTTTTAACTACAAAAATAATTTTTAAAAATTGTTTAATTTTATTTATTTAATATTTATTGATATAAATCCTTTTATTTTAAATAAATATAAAAAAAATTGAATGTATATTATAAAGAATTATCAATTCGTTTTAAATATATATATATTATTTTTTTCTTCAAATTAAAAACGAAACATTCTTAAAAAAATTTTCACTTTTTTTTCATTTTCAACAAAAAGTTTAAAAACATTTTTAAATTTATTTACACTATTAATTTATTCACAATTCAAATAAATCGTCAAAAAATTAATTAAATATTTAATCATTTAACTATTTAAATCTATTTAAAATTGAATTCTATTAAAATTTTAATTGTTTGAAAATTATTTTATATTTTTCCTACGCAAACAATTGACGTTTTCTAAATATTAAATCTTTAAGCTTTTTCCCATCAACTATATATATATATATATGAAATCAACGGTTTCTAATTGAAATAATTATATGCATATGAAATGCACACTTTAATTAACAGAAACTGTATAGCGAAACTTATTGAAAGATTCTTTTGAAGGCGGGAAAAAATGCAAAATTAAATCTACATATTCTCATTCGCACTTTTGTATGTAATGTGTAATATCTTTTCACGGTTCCATTATCTGCAAATTTAATTCATTTTAATAATAAGTAAGAGTTTTTTTTCTTATATATTATTATTTTTCTTTCATTTATTAGTCTTTAAAATTTTTTTTTCAAAGACTTTGTTTAAAAATATGAAAAATTTCATAAAAATCATTAATTAGAATTTTTATTTTAAAAGTATTTTATTAGAATTGAATAGTTTTTTGGACAAATTTTGAATTTTTGAATTAAAATTTGATAGATTTTCTTTTTATACGAATTTTAACTTAACAAACTTTTTTTAGCTACCGAATTTTTTATTTGTCCTAATTTTTAATTGATAGAGAATTTTTAAAATGCCGAATTTTTTTTTGTCCTAATTTTTAATTGATAAAATTTTTAAGATGCCGAATTTTTATTTTTCAGAAATTAAAAATATGACCGAACAAACAATTCGACGGAAAGATGTGGACGAAATTTTTTAAAATTGAGTTAAACATTTTGAGCGATCAGATTGCGAATATAAGTAGAAGATGAAGGAAAACGTCGATCACGAATTTACAGCCTGGCAAAATGCAAGAGCCGTGAATTGGTCACGGTTTCAGACGAGTTAATTTGATTCGAGGTTGAAAATTACAGTGAATCGAGTCTCTTTTCTCTTTCTCTCTCTCAAATATATATATATATAGGTATTATGCTTTTCCAGATCGACTTCAAAGCGATCGCATTTTCCAACTCGATGAATTCTAGACTTGGTTATGCCGAGTTCAAGGACCGAAGTAATATAGTAATGCGAAAGAGGATTCTTGAAATGCCGCGAATCCTGATGAGAGAAGTGAATCGAGAAAGAGAGAAACTGCTCTAAAACTTCTTTTTCGGACTCACTCTTCTCTTTTATATAGAAAGCATGGAAAAATCAATGGTAACTTTGTCACTTTGAGCTAACAATTTGTCTCTGTCATGTTCAAGGTTTCCATTTAATGAAATTTTGCTTCAATCAGAGGTTTCCTCAACTGCTTTTATAGTCTTCAAATTTTTATATATTTCCCCAGAAAATCTTTCGTGAAAAAAAAAACTCAGAAAAACGTATTTCAGAACTTATTTCTGACGTGGAAAAAAAAATTCTCTTTTTTTTTTTTTTGTTCAATATTAGACAAATTCAATTTCGAATCAATCAGAAAACTATTTTTCCAGTCAATCGAATTTTATTTTAAAACATATTCGCATAGCCTTAAAAAAATTTGCATTTCCATTTCAGTTCAGTATTCATTTTATAAATCCGTGTCTAATTTTGAATAAATTCGTCGTTAATATATAGGAATCACAATTTTCAATTTATTTTTCAAATTCAAATGAATATCTAAAGTTGAGTTTGAAATCGTATTGACTTTTCAATCATTTTTACAATTGATTTGCGAAATTAATTTATTCCAAATTAAGGCAATATTGCCTTAAACATTATATCTGTCGGCACTGAAAAAATTACTAACATTTCTGATAATGATGAGAAGCTATTCAATTTGTGCGAAATTTCACTTTACAGTTTCAATGAATCTGGAAATCTTTTGGTTGAGAAAAAAAAATTTATTGGATATAATTATTTGTTAGGCGAATTTTTATTTTTCTAATTGATATTGAACAGAATTATTATTTGATAGATTTCTATTAAAACACCAAATTTTCATTAGACCGAAATTGCAAATGTCCGAACAAACATAACCTTCAAAAATATTTTGGCGCGATTTTTAAAAATTGACCAATCACGAATTTCTTGATAATTTCTGATTGGTCAATTTTAAATAGCTATAGGTTATAAATCCTTAGCAGTTCGAGTTTGAGTTTAATCCTTCAATAACCAATTTCTATCAAATTAAATTTGGGTTCAATTCGGACCTGCACTTGCAATTCGTTTTAATTTTCACATGCAGTCTAAATGAATTTGTATCTCAATTTATTTAATGTACTTTATAACGATTAAATTCTATTCCATATAAATCTAAATCAGTTTAAATTTTTGAGTTGAAATAAAAAATTTACATTATTTTAGAAACAACTTTTAATTAACTTTTTAACTTTTAATTTTTTTCATTTTATCAAAAGTTCAATTTATATCTTTTTCAATGCCAGAAAAACAGGCAACAAATAAAAAATTCTATCTATGCTTAAAAATTGGAATATTCGTTATTTTCTTTTCAAAAATTTTTGTCGGAGATAATCCCCTTGTTGTATATATATATATTTTTTTTTATTGAGTGATGAGTGAAACAATAAATTGAACAAAATGTTCTGTTGAATTACTTACAACCAAGGTATATAGAAACTCCGGAAAAGAGTAAAAAGAGCAGAAAAGCAGCAAGCACACAGCAACCACAACGATATTGACTTCCTAGCTTCCGGGTAAATCGAATATCACTATCCGATGAAAGTATTGAGCTTGGTGTTCCAGCTCGGCTAAACCTTCTTGTGCTGACAGTGCTTATTGACATCTAAAACAGAAAAGAAGAAAGGAATTTTAATTTACAGTTTGCAATAATTTTTTTTATTATTTATTCTATATTGTTTCATTTTTACACATTTTTTATATATAACTCTCACTTTTAAAATGTCAAAAAAAAATCAACCAATTTTCCAAATTTGAAAATAATTTCAATTTAGCAAACTGAAGCACTTGAGTAAGATCTTCACAAAAAATTTAATTTAATCGAATCTTTATATTTGTCCGAATTATTACTTACACGAATTGTTATTTGATAGAATTATTAAAGCACCAAAATTTTATTTGTCCGAAATTAAAAATGCCCGAACAAATATAACCTAGAAAAAGATTTCGGCGCGATTTTTAAAATTTAGCAATCACGATTTTATTTCTGATTGGTCAATTTAAAAAATTGCGCCAAAATCTTTTTGTAGGTTATGTTTTTTCGGTCATTTGCAATTTCGAACAAATGAAAATTCTGACAAATGATGAATCGGTCAATTAGAAATTTTTATATTTAAAAATTCGAATCACTTTAAATTTCATTGAATCAGAATTATGCAGGCCTTGTATCGAATTTAAGGCGCAAAAAAGTCATTTTAGTCAAATAAAATTAAGAAAAGTCGATTTTTGGAAAATTTATAATTTAAAAATGTTTAAAAATGAAAATGATTTTTATGAAATAATCCTGTGACCTAATTTCACTAGAATTTAGTGAAAATATTTACTAATTTGAATCAGTTTCATAAATCTTTTTTTTTTTCCTAAAATAAAAAGACTTATTATTTTCAAATAAAGTAAAAATTGCTGCAGTATAGTGTTTCTGTATATCGAGAAAAAGTATATTTGTATTAAACAGTAGTTTTTCGTATATAGCTTTGAACCATAAAATTGGCAAAGGCTGAAAGAGAAAAGGAATCAAGCTCGATTTAATGCTCAAAAAGAATCTTTCGTTTTTCCTTTATATCGCTCAGTTTCCCTTTTGAGAGAGAGAGAGAGAGAAAGAGAGACATTTGTTGAGCACGTACAAAAGACCAAAGAGAGACTTCTCGTCAGAACACGATATTCCATTATATTAAATATCTCGACAATCCGCACACTGACTTCCGTCTCTCTTTCTCATAATAATTTTCTCTGTAATAATCGCACTTCTTTATTTTCACGTTACTCCAGTAGTATATAATGAAACATAAAACTGCTATTATATCAAGCTTCATGCAATAGTTGAGAATTTAGTAAAAGTAAATATTATCGCATTTTGTTAAACGCTTTCAACGTAATTACTATTTATACACAAATAAAATTCATATTTAAAGTAAAATGCATATTAGATTATAAATATAAAGAAAAAGCGGTAAATTTTTTTTTTTTTATTAAACTGTTTCTTTTTATTATCGTGAAATAGTATAGTAGTAAGCTGCATAATATCAAGTTGATTGCTTCATATAGTTTTGCATGTAAAACGATTAAATATCGAAACACGGATTTTCTTTGTTTAATTAAAAATAAATGAGAAAAAAAAATAAAATAACATTAGCTAATCCCATAAGGTATGGATATTTTATTAAATTTCCAACAAAAGTTCTCGAAAAATATAAATCTCTTAAAAAAATTAATCTCTTTTTAATTATGTAAAAAATTTAATTAAATGCAATAAAAATTTTTAAATGCACTTTAAGAGCATTTTACGTCTCCTCAGGATTTTCAATTTCCTCAAGTCAATATGAATTCTTTGGTTTATTGTGTGTGAGTTTTAATATTTTGTCAAAAAAAAAGAAAATATTATTAATGGCAATAATTTTGTATGCATCAAAATTAGACTCAATCCACACTGAAAAAAAAATTTATTTGATTCAAATAATCGGTTACTTGACTATTATCAAATAATTATTATTTGAGTCAATTAAATAGTATATCGTACATTTTTCTGGACATAATTCGATTGTGTAAATAAATAAATCCTTCTTTAAATTAAAATTATAAGAGAATAAGAGAATAATTAATAATTATATACATCATATAAAAATTAACTTTTTTTTTGAACAACACTGAGAAAAAGAATTATTTGTTTCAAACATAAACATCAGTTAAAATGATTTTGTTTGATTCAACACAGTTTGTATGTTCAAATTTAATATATTGAAAATATCTACCATATTATTTTAAACATATTATTTGTTTGAATGTTCTGTTTGATTTAAGAAAAATTATATTTGAATTAAACATAAAATATGCTTAAAAACTTCATATTTCAAATCAAAATTATAATATGTTTGAATTAAACTTAAAAAATATTCTATTCTATCGACCAAAAAATATGTTTAAAGTAAACTTAAATACGTTTGACTGTATATCAAAGACATTTTAAGTTTAATTCAAACAAAATATGTTTAAATCAAACATATAGTTTTCTCAGTGAACACTCGATCGTTTTAAAAATCAAATACTTTTTTTATTGATTACAATTAATAATTATTCAAATTTGTTTCAAATACAAAAATTGTTTTAAAAAAATTAAAATATATACAAGACAAAATATTATATAATTGTGTATTTCATAAATAATATTTTATTTTTATTTTATTATGATTTTATAATTTTTATTTGATTTACATTTTATTTTATTTCTTAGTAGTAATTTTTTCTTTTTGTAAATTATATAAGTGGTCAATAACTGTCAGTGGGTTCACGATTGTTTATCTCTATGGTAAACCACCTCTATTTATGTTATTTTTAATTTCTTTTTTTTAATGTAAGAAACAAAAAAATTCTAACATTTGTCAAAAGTATTGTAAAAATTACAATGGAAAAAAATATTAAACAACGAAAATTTGTCTAGACCACAAAGAATGTCGTGACTAGAAAGTGAATTAATAGTTTCATAAATACTTTCGACATTTGAAAACTGCATAATCACTAAATATATATCAGCATCGACAATATTGAAACGTCATATAAATAGTATATACAGTAAACTATTGTATAACATTTACTAGAAAATTAAGAAATTAATTAAACACTCGCATTTTTTAAAAATATTCCACTTAGAAATTATTTTTTTCACCGTGTGGGTTAAATTTAATCCTCTGAGAGGTTAAAGTCAGTAGATATATTATTCTTCTGCGCAGAATGTTTGCTTCTGCGCAAAAGAATATATCTACTACCTTTAACCTCTCAGAAGATTAAATTTATCCACACGGTGAAAACGGGCTCTACCTAAAAAATTGTTGATCGCAGCGTTAAATTTCTAGCTAGTTTCTGTATAGTTAAACTATTCAGTGGCTAATATGGAAAATAGTAGAATTCCATAGTAACTGTATATAGAAACGTGAAATATTTTCCACAAAGGGTTTCTTCTGCTATTGTTATAAACATTTTAATACTGTTGAATTAATTAACTCAGGTATTGAAATATAATATTACCAAACATGAAATATATAGAAATCTATAAATTAATTCAGAAATGAAAATTTATACAATTGATATATATGAATAATAAAAAATTGAAGAGAAAATATTTGTTAATCGAATACGGTGATGAAATGTAATAATGCATTTTTATTTGATATGCGCATGTATATAAAATATAATGTATATTATATTAAACTGCGATATAGGTGAAACACGTGCATGGGAATATGCGAGAGTTTCTTGAACGATTACAGGGGCAATTACATCGGTAAATTTGCACTTTTCGTCTATCAGACGAGGCAGCGCTTAGAATTATTAGAAACTTGCGCGCCTCTGACTTTGGAAACTTCATATATATAGAAGTTAAAATTGATTGATGCACGCCAAACTGGCGGATGCAATTAAGTTAACAGTCGTAATAGAAAATCTCTGTATAACTAATGGAAAGTGCAGTCGCACTTCTATATAATATACAAAAGAATCTTTTTGATCCTCTCAACAGAATTATATATATATACAAAAGTGAAAACAAATTAAATTTACTTTTACTTCTTTGTAATTACTAATTATAAATTATAACCACATTGTTAATTGATTTGTTTTTAATTAACGAAACATTTTTATTATTTTATCTTATCGTTTACAAAGAAATTAATCTTTAGTTTATCTTCTGTGAAATTTATTTTTTATTACTATTTTACTTCAAATTGCTATAGAAAATAACTAGATGAGAAAAATATTTTGTTTTAATTAAAATTTTGCTGATTAGGAAAATCAGACTCAAAAAATTGTTATGTGTGTTATACTAAATGTACTTCTAATTTTCATCAATCTTAAAGACTGATTGACTAGACGTAAATTTAGTTAGCTATTCAGAAATAAGCAGCCCTTTATATTTAGAAAATTGTGCATCTCGTTTGCGAGAGAAGCGCATATTCGCCACCTAGCGGCAAAATTGCAAACTACTCGATTAGAAAAAGTTTTTTAACTACGCAGTTCGCAATTTTGCCGCTAGGTGGCGAATATGCGCTTCTCTCGCAAACGAGTTGCACAATTTTCTAAATATAAAGGGCTGCTATATTCCTCAATAGCTAACTAAATTTACGTCTAGTCAATCAGTCTTTAAGACTGATGAAAATTAGAAGTACATTTAGTATAACACACATAACAATTTTTTGAGACTGATTTTCGTAATCAGCAAAATTTTAATCAAAACAAAAATTTTTTTTCCTTTTTTCTAGGTTATTTTCTATAGAAATTCAGAATGAATCAGTTAATTTAAACGAATCAATTTGATACTTTCAACCAGATTAGAGATACGAAATTTCGAATCATTAAACTGGCAGTCAAAATTTTGGCCTACTTCAAAACGAAAAACCAGATTTTATTTTTCCTAAGCATTTTGTGACGTGCTGGATATAAATCTGACATCAAAATTTACTTCAGATTCTCGAGATATTATTCTAACCTAAAAGTACAGAAAGACGTTTTTTGAACATATTTGAGACCATGTGACATTATTTTGTTTCAAAAAGATCGTTACAGCACCTGAAGGTACCATTCCTCCTTTTTAAAATGCATTTTGTTTAAAAAATCTTT